GGCCAGGGATTTGGGGCTCAGAGGGGACATCGAGTTACCTGGAGAGCTTTATTTACAAAAAAAGGGGGTGCAGATGCGAGCCATGGTCTTGGACCAGACCTGGACCACGGAGCCACGTCCCCAGCCCTTTTTATTTTTATATATATATTTTTTTGGTCTGGAGACAGGGTCTGTGTAAATGGTGGAGGCTGGCCTCCCACTGGCGATCCTCCTGCCTCAGCCTCCCGAGTGGTTGGAGGCCAGCCTCAGCCAAAGCGAGGCCCTGAGCCACTCAGGGAGACCCTGTCTCTAAATAAAATACAGAATAGGGCTGGGGACCGGGCTCCGTGGCTGAGGGCCCCTGAGTTCCATCCCTGGTGCCTAAAAAAAAAATATGGAAATTCAGCAGCTCAGTCCCACCCGGCCACCTGCTGAGTGGAATCTGCCTGTTAATTAGCAGCCCCCCCACCCCGCCCCCAGGAAGTGAAATGCACTTTTGCCCTGGAGGAGGGCAGGGCAGGGTGCAGCCAGGTCACACCCTGGCTACTGGGGTCCTTTGCTGCAGATGAGGAAACTGAGGCCGAGAGAGAGGCCGGGTTGGAGCCACTGAGGATCTTCCCGGGGCTTGAACCCAGGGGTCTCCAGGTGACATGAGACGGGGGACTGTCATGACGAGTGGGGCTGCTCCCCGCCCCTGCAGGTCTCCCCCTGGCCCCTTTTGCTGTCTCTGGGGGCAGCTGGGCGCTCCCCGAGGCTCCAGGCCCCGCCCACCGCGCCTGCGCAGTCTCTCGGTGGAAACAGGCTGAGGCAGGAGGGTCTCATTCCCAGCCACCCTGAGGAAGACAGAGGGGGATTTTTTCTTTTTGGGGGGGGGTACCAGGGGTGGAACCCAGGGTCCCTCACCCGCTGAGCCCCATCCCCAGCCCTTTTTATATTTTATTTAGAGACAGGGTCTCCCTGAGTGGCTCAGGGCCTCGCTAAGTGGCTGAGGCTGGCCTCCACCTTGCGAGCCTCCTGCCTCAGCCTCCCCAGCCACTGGGACCACAGGCGTGCGTGGCCTCTGGTGTAGACCATCTCATCTGAAATTGCCAGACTGTTTCCCAAGGAGGGTGCTGGGGTGGAGGTGGCCTGGTGGTGGTGGTGGTGGTGACCTGGGGTGGCCCTGGAGCAGGTGGGCAGCTGCCCCTTCAGTGAGCACACGGTGGACGTGCTAATGTCCTGCAGCCCGTGGCTCTGCGTCTCCCACTGCCACCTGCCCCGTCTGGCCCTGGGACCCTGTTTGCTGTTTCCACTGAGAGAGGAGGAAGTGAGCTTTGGGGACTTGCCACTCGCAGACCACATCCGGCCACGGCTTCCCAAGGTCCTCTGCGCTCCCAGGGCCCAGGATGGGCACCCAGAGGGAGCCCTGCATCCTGGGGGGTTCCCATCTGCAGCCCCGAGTTTGGCTGAGACCCAGGCTGTTGGGGTCCATGGGCACCGTGCTTTGGGGGGTAGGAAACAGCAGAAATCAGAACCCACACCATCAGTGTCCCTCGACCCCTGAGCCCCGTCCCCAGCCCTATTTTGCATTTTATTTAGAGACAGGGTCTCTAATTGCTGAGGCTGGCCTCCACCTTGCGATCCTCCTGCCTCAGCCTCCTGAGACACTCGGATGACAGCCTTATGCCACTGTGCCCAGCCAGGGTACAAGGGTTTTGATCAGGGAGCCTTTTGGAAAACCTCATTCACGGCCGGGCACAGTGGCCCACGCCTGGAATCCCAGCGGCTCAGGAGGCTGAGGCAGGAGGATCGCAAGTTGGAGGCCAGCCTCAGCCACTTAGCAAGACCCTGTTTCTAAGGGGCTGAGGATGAGGCTCAGGGGTTAAGGGCCACTTATCAATCCCTGGTATCAAAAAGAAAATCAAATCAAATGTCATTTCCTACCGGAGCGTGGCCACTGTCCCATGCACACCTCCCGGGACCTCTGCCCGGGGATCGATTTTCTTTCTTGAGATGAGAAGAGTTGGTCCAGAGGGACCGCGGCCCAGTGTCCTCCGCCTGGATTTCCTTGAAGGTCCCTCCTCGCTGCCAAAGCTTTATTTCCCTTGATGTCCACAGGATCTTCTAGAAGCTTCCAGCCACTATCCTCGGGCCAGGGAATTGGGGGAGGGGGCCTCAAACTCAGCCCTGTACAGGGCACAACGTGGCACAGAAGAGGAAGCCAGCCAGATGGAATCCGTGTCCCCGTGTCGGGGTGACCGACGCCCACCCCCAGCTCTGTCTAACTGCAGCGATTGGTCAGAGGCCAGAGGTGGCCCAGGCTCACATTTTTGAAGAGAAACCAAACATTACAGATTATTTTCTTCTTTTTTTGGCACCAGGGATTGAACCCAGGGGCCCTCAACCACAGAGCCCCCTCCCCAGCCCTATTTTGTATTTTATTTAGAGACAGGGTCTTCCTGAGTGGCTCAGGGCCTCGCTTTGGCTGAGGCTGGCCTCCAACTTGCGATCCTCCTGCCTCAGCCTCCGGAGCCACTGGGATGACAGGCGTGGGCCAAAGCGCCCAGAATCTGGGGCCTCGTTCATGCTGAGAACCTGAGCCACAGCCTGGGCTTGGGTTCATTGTCTAGCAATCGCTCCAAAATGGACCCAAATCTCCCCCCAAAACCAGAAGATTTGGGTTTGGATTCTAGTCCTCTTACTCACCCACCGAGTGACCCAAGGCAAATTTCTTCACTTCTCTGTGATTCTCTTACTTCTTCATTAAAATGGGTGTGTGTGTGTGGGGGGGGATCAGAATGCTACTGTATTTAAATGCACTGAAGCTGGACAGGATATCAGCCATGGTCCCCCTTTCCTAGAATCCTGACCACTCAGGAGGCTGAGGCAGGAGGATGGCAAATTGGAGGCCAGCCTCAACAACTTGGCAAAACCCTGTCTCCAAATAAAAAAAGAAAAGAAAGGAAGGGCTGGGGATGTGGCTGCTGCTTGGTAGAGCTCTGGGTTCCGTCCCCAGCTCTGCAAAATAAACGTAAATAAAAGAAATGCACTGAACTGTGCGGAGCATATGGTTACGACGTGCTATAAAAGGGCATGTTCAATAAGATAAATGCAGCCAGGCGTGGTGGCTTGGTGGTGTGCACCTGGAGTCTCAGTCACTCGGGAGACGAAGGTATTAAGATGTCGAATGAGCCCAGGAGTTTGGGGCCAGCCTGGGCGAACATATTCAGAACCCCCATCTCAAAAGAGAATAAATAGAATAAAACACAGCACCTGTTTGTTGAGCATCTACTACGAGCCAGACTTGTGACAAGCTCCTGGATTCAAGGGGGGGTGGGGGCAAGGACCAGATCCATCCTGATGGTCCCCAAGTGTGCACCTGGGGTCCCTAGAGAAGGGTACTGGGCAGGGGCCAGGAGGGGCAGGGGCCAGGAGGGGACAGTGTGTCGTGGTGTTGGCTAGAGATGGTATTGCCACCAACCCGGGGGCTTGCTGAGGATGCCCAGGAGAGAGGTGCATAGAAGGAGGCAGAAAACGCTGGGGCATCAGAGAGGGAAAAGACTTTGCCATAGGTCACACAGCACCTCCTTGGGCCCTGCCGGGGTGTGGATGCGCAAGATGGTCTCTGAGGAGCTGCTCATTCAAATAAGAGCCATAATAAGGGCACAGTCTACAGCTCCACTTAAAAATAGTCGCATTAACTGACACTCGCTTGGCACTTCTTGGGTGCCAGGAGCAGTTTTGAGCTTTTTAAGCGGTTCAGCTTGCCTCTCCTCTCTCTCGGCAGCCAGGGGAGATACTCGCCACCGTTTCTTGGTGTCTATTTTAGATGAGGAAAAGCAAGGCACAGAGACTCTGAGTGATTTGCCCAGAGTCACACAGCCATGGCAAAGCTACGATTCTGGAACGTCACCCCCCTCCACGGCAACCAGGCCTTGGGG